CGAGTCCGTGACGGTGCAGGAGGGTCTGTGTGTCCTGGTGCCCTGCAGCTTCTCCTACCGCGGCTCAGACTCTGGCAAGGCCTTTATCTACTGGTTCCGTTCAGGGACCCATACAGACCACGGCTCTCCAGTGGCCACCAACAACTCTGATCGGAGAGTGCAGGAGGAGACCCAGGGCCGGTTCCACCTCCTCGGGGACCCAGGAGCCAACAACTGCTCCCTGAGCATCAGAGATGCCAAGCGCAGCGACAGTGGCTTCTACTTATTTCGGATGCAGAAAGGAGAGTTTAAGTGGAATTATTATCCCAACATGGTTTCAGTGCAAGTTACACGTAAGATCCATCAGCAGGGCAGCCTCCGGAAGGTCACAGGACACAGCTGGCTGGGACCCTGCCCTGGGGGAGTTGGGGGTCAAGCATTAGGGGCTCAGGGAGCAGCTGGGTCAGAGCCTGAACTTCTCTCAGGGCCCCAACTCCCACCCTCCCTCCTGACCCTTTCTGTCCCCCTCTGCTCACCAGACCTGACCCACACCCCTGACATCCTCATCCCTGGGACCCTGGAGTCTTGCCATCCCAGCAACCTGACCTGCTCTGTTCCTTGGGCCTGTGAGCAGGGAACGCCCCCCACCTTCTCCTGGGTAGGGCCCTCTGTGTCCTCCTTGGGCCCCAACATCATCCACTCCTCGGTGCTCACCCTCACCCCGCGGCCCCAGGACCATGGCACCAACCTCACCTGTCGGGTGAAGTTCCCTGCAACTGATGTGACCACAGAGAGAACCATCCAGCTCAATGTCACCTGTGAGTAATGGGCCAGGACACCTGGGTCCTTGGGGCTGTGAGGGGCAGGGAAGAAGGCTTGAGTCCCATAGCTAGGGACACTTTTTGGCCATGTCCTGGGTACACAGGCCCGTCCCTCTGTGTGTCTGTGGTCATGGGGTGGGTGTGGGGAGTGCTGCCTCATCTTCATTCTAACTAAAGGGGAAACAATCCACCTTCCTGTCCACTGTGCTGCAGAGAACCCTGCAGTCAGTGTGTCCCCAGGGGTGGCCTAGGCAGGGAGGGGCCTCCCCCGGGCTGATAGGGCTGTGCTCTCTGAGCCAGGCTGGTTGAGACTGGCTTCCAGGTTTTGGAATAATGGAGAGGTCACAGGTCCCCCCAGGAAGCCCACCTCGGGCCTCCTTCCCCAAGTAAGGACATTTTAGGGTGACCAACAGCTAGCTCTTTTCATACCCCCCCAAAAAAATTTCTGTTTCCTTCCAATCAATGAATGTCTTGGGGACATTTGAAGAATAGTTTTTTTTGTTTTAGAGGAGTTGAAGTTTCACTACAAAATCAAGCGACAGGTGCAGAGATTTCCCATATACTCCTGCCCATGTGTGGCACCACCTCCTGAGTCTGTGATATCCCAGTTCAGAGTGGGTCAGTTACTACAGTCCACGTACCTACATGGACATATCACTGTCACCTGGAGTCCTCAGTCTCGGCAGGGACACCCTTGCAGTCGTTCGTTCTGTGGGATTTGACCCCATAACACAGTCACACAGAAGAGCCCT